GATTGAAAATTCAAAATTCAAAAACCATATCAAATATCAATTTATATTTAAAAAATCTATAATATTTAGAAATTTTAAAATAAAATATAAAATTTATAATGTAAAGAATTTATAGCATAGAGCATTAAATTGCATATCTTTTATATTTGATTATATTTTTTAATTGGTAGAAGCATTTGTAATAAAAGCATAGAAATGTTGAAGTGCTACTATATAACTTTTTGATGAAAATTTTAAAAATGAATTATCACATGCCAAAAAGTAAATTTTTTAGCTCAGTATTTGAGGATTGAGAAAATTAAGTGGTAATATCTTTATATTGTATTGTAACTTATGACAATTTAATTAATAAGTTCAACATAGTGACAATCGGCATAAATTGCTAGTTGTTAAATTTTCAATGCATATGTTCTAATATAGATCAATTTTTTTGTCAATAAAACTCAAATTTTCTTGATTGATGTATAAATTGCATTGTTTTCTCCTTACATCGGTTAAATTATGCAAAAAAAATGCATCTAATTTTCTTTAAATAAAATCCAATCATTCTAAAAAAAATTAAGATTTAAGAAAAAATAGATCCATTGAGTGAAATTATAATAAGTCTAAAATTTCTAGAATTTTTTAATCTTATAAAAAATTAAGCTAATATTTAATTATTTAAAAATCATCAACAATATTATATTTTTTAAATACAAAAAACCACTTTGTATCTAGGTTTTGGTATGAATATGCTATATAATAGAATAGAGCTTTATAAAATTAGAAAACTGTACTGAATTTTATAATTTAAAGAAATCTCAGATGTAGTCTTTAAATTAAAATATTTTCAAAATCGTTAAACATAAAAAATATGATTTTCTTAGGAATTATAAAATTAAAATACTTTTAATCTTATTTTAAATTTAAAGTACTATTTTTAGAATATAGAATTATAAAACAAATCTTCAAAATAGTAGATAAGATTTTATAGTGTTGTAATATATAATTAATAAGAATTACTTGTTTAATTTATATTACCGTAATCAAATAAAGAAATGAAAAAATAGCAAAGATCCGAAGTTATTACAAAACATGGTGTGAAACTTAGTTTTAGATCTACTTATCTACAAATAGAATACTAGAGCATGATCTATAAATGATTTAGTCAAAGTTGGCAGGATACAATTTAGAATTTTATAAGATCTATGACATTTAGCAACCTTCATATAAAGATGCTAGTTTATTCCTAATGATGTCTTTAATTGATAAGCCCTATATGTAAAGATTTGAGAAAATAATAGTTTTTACCAACATGATCAATTTGTCAATGTGAACTAACTTTCAATACACGGAGATAACAAATTAATGAAAACATTCAAGAATATTTTTTGATGTGTCATTTTCTCATACTAAATGTGATATTCCAAAGATATTAGAATTGTTCATAAGCACATATGCTATAAAACTAAGTAATATCTTTACTTTAGAAGTTGGTCAAAAATCCACATAGAAAGAAACCGTAGCAAGTATTTTTTCAGAAGCATATTATTTCGTAGAACATATATATTTTTTTATATATATATATGTATATATATATATATATATATTTAATTAAAAAAAATTAGAATGATATGAAGTCTAAATAGATTAAATAAGTTAGAGCCACAACTTATGGCAAGAAAGATAGACTTTGATAATATATATAATAAGATAAATCTTTGATGACCAATAAAATAAAAAATATTAAAAGAAATTATTGATTAGATAGCTAAGTATAGTCTTAGTTATTATTTTTATTATATATCCACCATGTATAGAATAATAGAAGCTAAGCTAGGTATTAACCTCCTTTATGTTCTTTTCAGCATATTTTGCTCATATGTTTATCTCTTAAAAGAAATATTTAGATTTATATTTTCTTTAATGTAACCAATGTATTTAATCTATTTTATAAAAAATATATTTCATTATTTTCTTAACGAATATTTTTCTTTTAAAATAATTGTTTAATTGATTGAATGCATAAGAAATGTATACGTGTTTATTTATTTATTTTCTATGTTATTTAAGTTGTTTTTTTAATTATTTTCAACTAATGTGTCTTATAGATTTTAAATAATATTTATTACTAAGAAAATATATCATTAATTTTTTAAAATTTATTATGAAATTGTATTTATAAAACCAATTGTTAGCTATTGTTGCATCATAAAATATAATTAAAAAATAGGATATTGTTTTCAAGTTTCCTACACTAATTTAAAATCATCTTGATTGAAAAGATATATCTATATATATATATATATATATATACACATAATTGCTTTTAAAGGTTTGTGATCACACATACTGGAATTGTTTTAAACAATTTCAAAATTTCATGGTTGAATTTTTCTGTAAAAAAATGAAATATATATATATATATATATATATATATATATACACATGGAACTTACTTGTTTTTTATAACATTTAATTTTCTTAGGAAACACATTGTGTCAACCTAAATGTTTAAACCTAAAATAGTATAATTTAATGCAAATCAACTAAATTCGTTTAAAATTCTTGATTGTGTAAAATTCCGTGAAAGTTTTTTTTATACCATCAATAAAATTAAAACGCAAAGATTGAATTAAAAAGCTCTGAAGGTATGAGCACCTTGTTGCAAAAGCATTTTGTTGCTTTCACGCAAAAAATTATAATGTTTTCAATGAAAAACGCCAAAAGGTTATGAAATTAAATTTTGTTTTTAAATTACAAAAATAGATGAAGCAAGTACATAGATGAGAAAATTATGGATGAGAAAATTTTGGAATCAAATCTATGAGAAAAACCATCACCAAACTAGTTGCCTTTCCTTCTCTTCTTCATCATCATGTATATACAGATATATATATATATATCTGTATATACATATATATATATACATATATATACAGATATATATATATATCTAGACTGCAAATATCATTGTAGCTGTTAACTCCAGAGTGTTCCGTGTACCAAATTTTCAGCAACAAAATTATAACTCCACTGGCATCAAAATGAACAAATAGAAATGGTAGTTAATAATCAATAATGAAGTGAGAAATAAAATAATTATCTGCAGATTGGCAATTGTGGCAATGGAAGCATTCTTCACACACAAAGATCATGTGTAGTCCAACCCAATTGTGATGCATTGGATTTGGAAACTAGAATGGCCCAATCTGGGACTGTTATATAACTAGATGGGTTAGTGCAACACTGAATCATCCTGGGCATCATCTAATTCCAAAAGCATCATCTTAGTGTTAGAATATAAATAGTCACTGCATACAAAGTATGCTACGTTGATCAGTTCTCTTGTTTGTTGAGAGGGTGACGAGGGAATCATGCAGCTGCAAATAATTTTAGGGTTTATATATATATATATATATATATGTATATATTTTTTTTTATGTTCCTGTTGTGGGTTGAAATGTCAAGACCATCCTCAATATTCAAATGGAACTAAGATTTTTGCAAAGCTTGCAATTGAATGAGTCATGATTTCTTGTGCACAGTCTAACCAACCAACTCATCATTGTGTGGAGACGGAGACATCACAAGAATAGTAGTGATAATGTGTATATTTATATAAACGTCTGAAGTAATATTATATTATGCATAGTTCAAAATACAAAATAATGAACAGTACTATGTCATCCTTGTTAGACTTTCACAGTACTCTTATTTCAATATAAGGTCAAGATGTGTTGGGGCATCTATTATTCTATCTTTGGAGGTAAGTTCTTAACTTAGAAGAGTCTCTTTCACCCTTGAATACATCAATTCTTAAACAAGCTTGGGATCTTTATGGCCAATGAGAAGCATCCACCTTTTGCTCCTGCATTAATTGAATGTTAAAAAAACCTAATTGAAATAAAATGATGAAGATGTGTTGTGTGAGAATGTGTCACTCCAGACTCAACTGCACATCAAAAAACTAAAAATTAAAACTAAAAGAAGAAAAATGGGTTTGTTTGTACTGCTTCTGTGTTTTTTTTCTTCAATTACCTTGTTGTAATGTTGTAATCAATGCTTCTACAATTGCCTTTGTTTATGAGTTGAACCATTGTGTGCTGTGCTGTGTTTTGTTTTGTTTTTTCAATATAGGTTTTATTTACTTACTTTTTTCTTTTTTAAGTAACAGGTGAAAACCATCAATAAATGTTTTGTAGTATGTTGCTTTTCCATCCAGAATCTGCTTTTTCATTGAAAAGATGCCTTTGGACTCTGCTTGAATTAGATTCATTACATCACAGAGTCAGCAAAGTTCAAAAGAATTTTCAAAAAACAAGACACCTTAGTTCTCTGAATTCCTTATCTCATGCATCCAGTTTTCATTTCTCGTTATTTTTATTTTTATTTTATTTTTCTCTTTTTCTTTTTTCTATTACAAGGATGTGGTCAAAGCAGCAGAGCAGATTTTTTCTCAAATTGCACAATTCACCAAATTCTCTCCAGACATTTCAAATCAACCCAGTTGTTATGTTTTCCTCTACCACAGTGGTTGCACGATTATTTGTGGGCTTTTCTATCATCCTTTAGCATTGTACTACGTCACATCTCATCGAAGTCTAATCTTAAAGAAGAAAATGATACTATTCTTGCATGGCATGACACTACAACTCACTCCTAGGAATATGCAATTTGGGATACAGGTGTTTGGAAGAGTTCAGAGTCCATGTCATAAACTATTTTTTAATTTTCTCCCATTCGGCCAAATGATGGGGTGTCATTAATTCCTTGGTTGCATCATTCAAAAAAAACAAAGCAAAAGCAAAAGAAAACGCCCCACCCAGCCCTTCAATCATTGGTCAAATTGGGTCTCTCATTAGAAAAGCTTTGCTTTGTCCAAAGCTTCAACGAACTTGGCTCAAAGATAATGCATTATTATTGAGGAGGTGATAATCTAGCCTCATTTTCAGGCACAAGGCGGCGGCCGAACTATCATCAAAAGAACAGGAACTGAACTGAGCAACACAATAAACAAGTAGACAAACAAAAAAAATAAATCTTGTTCACCAAACAGATGTATCTAGAAAGCGCAGCAATTACAGACAATTTTAATCATTGATGCAGATATACTAACTTTTGTCTACTGTGGCCGACATTTGTGCCCACATTCTTAACATCTGAGCCTATCGTAACGTGCCCAAGGGTTTCACCAATTAGCGGCAGTTTCTTTTACGTCCTGCAGGTGGTGGTGGTATTTCAATGGATCTGGAATCGGACAAAATGATAATCTGGTATATAAAACTACATCCTGATAAACGGAGTGGAAACCAGCCTTGGAGTTCACTAAGAAATGGATTTTTTGACTTTGACAAACACGAGTATCGAATGATGTCTCCACCACGATCACGCACCAGCGCCGCCTGTGTGATGGTTCCAATTGCAGCAGCGGTGAAGGTGAGCTCATTCGCCATGGAAGCTCTGCATCCTAATGATCCATCTATCCACGTGAGCTCACTCGAACTGACTCATTGATCAAATCGGTATCTGTGAACGCTACGCTACCAATTTTTAGTTCACCCTCTGTGATCTTGTGGGGATTGAGAATCAAGACGTCACCACTAGCGCAAGTTGAGTATTCAGTCGTGTCTCTGACCGAGTCGAAGTTCGAGGTCGACGGATTCAAAGGGCAAGTGGTATGGATTTCTCAACGAAGCCTCTGCTTGAGAGCGCAAGGAATAGGCACTTCGGTAACTCGAAGATGTTTCGCCGTAACATTGGGGAGAATCCGAATGCGCATGTCGATAATCGTATGACTGGTAATCGAAGGGGTGTCTCCTGTATTGTGATGCATACTGCACATCGTGCGATTCTGATCTCGTCGGCCAGTCGTTTGAGGCACAGTGGGAGGTCGAATTGGGAGGCTCGGTGTCCATGCTCGTGCCGCTTCGAAGCTGCAGGGGCTGGTTCGCCTGAGCCCTCTCCCGCCTATGAACATTCATGTGCCCACCCAGGGCCTGCGCGGTGCGGAACTCACGGTGGCAGAAACTGCAAGAGTAGGACCTCGGTGGCCACTGGCCGCTTGTGCTTGCATCCTCCGCGAACGCACGCACCTCCCACGAATCTGATTCGTAATTGTTTGCTGCATTTCTCCTGCTCCACGTGTTTCCTCCCCCTCCTCCTACTTGGGCGTACTGACTGGAGTTCGACGGCATCGTCCAGGACTCGTGCACATCTGGGTCATGCATCGCTCCCCATGATGAACCTCCTCTTAAATACTCTTGATCAGAAAGTAATAGCGTGCGAGTTCCCATCGCTCCTGCCAAGCCTCCCCTGAACGAAACCTTCTTCCAACTCTTTCTGATGATCACAACACAAAACTTTATCACAAAGAATACGTGCGAATCTGCTTAGTAGTGCCGCTTCGGTGAAGTAAATCTACGCCAGGAAAGCCCTCGCTGGTAATCAGGCACTTGTCTCTGAGAAGACAGAACAGTGCACCACCGACTAATGCCTCGAGAAATTGGAACAAGATTGTATTTTCAAACGGGGCTGCGATAGGTATATCTGAAGCAGGAGAAGCACTCTCCCTCCCAATTCCATCAATTACAATGAATTGTACGGGTGATCGAGCACAGAAGTATCCGCCGATACAGAGCACTCTAAATTCTATCTGCTCGTCCACAGCCTATCTGCAGACTCGATCAACTATTGTGAACTTATTAGAGCAGATATATCGGGTAGCTCAAGTGTACACCCGTTGTGCTTGAGAGGGAGGAGCCCGGTGCATGTGAAGTACAACATGACAAAAACGGACACATGAAGCTGAGTCAAGCTGAGTCATAGCATGCAGGTAGCGGACACCATCGACATGATCAAAGCGAACCGATAAGAGTGAAAATCCACGATACGCCTTGGCCTCAAAAACATAGATATCGACGACCACACCTCACCCCCCGAAACTACTAGACTACTACCTTCGGGTTAACAACATGACTAAGAGTGTTAAGCTTTTAAAGAACACACTGCTCCCACTGCCCCCACATTTCCAGGCGAAAACAAATAAATATTGAACAGTCACTTCAGTCACTTATTGGTTAGTTCAATCGTGCCCGCAGGATGAAGCAGAAGAAGAAGAAGCACAAACGGGGGGGGGGGGGTCTGTACGAATCTGGTCTAGTGGACCTAGACTAGGGTTGGGATTTACAGGGGGCTTTGGAGAGGCGGTTAAAAACTCTTCTTCTCGACTTGGGACCCAGGGCCTCGGGGCGTCCCAATCGAAACATGCAATTGAATTGAAGTAGCCCACGAAGATAGTGAAAGTGAGGATATTACGGAAGGAGGAGAGAAGACTCGAGAACTGGACTTGGTATGAAGTGAATAGTCACGAGAATATGTTGAAATGGACAAAAAAAAGTGACCCTCATGGGCCTCCACTTCAAAATGCGTCCAAGTGTTGGTGCTGTTGTCCGTCTTTCACCCCCATCATCCCGAGTGTGTCAGCCATCCACCCTTTTGTACAATTCTCATCGAACCACCATTCTCGAAAATAACTACGATCTTCTATCTCTCCGGTTGTGGTACGGCTCGCGGTTAACGCCTCGGTCAACCCGGAGTCAATCGCCACGGCCCTCGCCCTACAGTCATTCCAGTACCTCCAATAAATCTCGTTAGGAAAAGAACAAATGATAGCATCGGGTTTGGGCAGGAAATCACGCGGCATGTGGAATCGTCTGCTAGCACGGAGACGATCCAGGCCCCCTGGTGACATCACGAGCCGCAGAGAGCTCCACCTCTCTGGGTGCCAAAGTCGGAGCCACTGTCGCTGCCGGGTGGTTAGAACCTGGATTTGGTCAGAAGCTGCGGATTTCGCCGATCATAACTCAGGTCTTCTTCACCGGCCAGAACACAGCTCAGACGGCACCGATTCTCACACACCACCTCGTCGACGCAACTCCCGTCAACACACATACACACAACTATTTACATATATATATATATATATATATGCTCGTTTTCATGTCCTCAACTTGGTATACACACTTACACATACATATATACTTCTAATATATATATATATATATACATATATATAAATGTATGTGTGTGTGTGTGTGTAGATAGAGACAACCCAGTGCGTGAATAGACCCGTTTGTACCCAATAGACGAGAATATAGCAGGTGGGGAAATCTGCATGATTCTGCTTCGTCTTCTTCTTCTTCTTCTCCCTCGTCTTCCACCACAGTTTCGGTGACTATGGCAATGGCTGGTGTACGTTACACTAAGCTGGGCTGGGCTGGTCTAGTCTCAGCTCAGTCAGGGCAGCTAGGGAAACAGAAGTACTGGCTGACCCCATTCCATGTTGAATCAGAACTGCAGAAGCTGAGACCCTTTTCCTATTCCAGCCAATGCCATTTTTCTGTGTGTCTGTCCACTGTTCATGTGTAATAGTCATGTAAGTGTGAATGGAACTTTTGAAATCAGAGCCCCATGCTCCTGCCCACCACAGTCAGAGATGCCACATATCAGTTCAGTTAAGGCACAAATTATATGAAAAGAATTAGGGCTGGAATCACTGTTTTGTGTATTGTGAAGGAAATGCTCTTCAACAGATGATTTCTGTGAGGAAAATAACAAAAGTTCTATGTACACTAGCTGCCACAATGGTGTGCATTTTACTCATAGTTAGAGCTTGTACAAAAAGAATGGTTTGGCAACTTTTGCAAACACAATGGTTTTCATTATTTCAAGTACTTTTTCATGAGCTCAAATCATACCATGTGGTAATTGTGTACCACCAAGTGGAGATGCTTTGACAATGTCTACTTTTAAACAAGAAAAATTCCATGAAAAGGTCAATGACAGTTGGAGCTTTTGTGGATTATTTGGATGATGAATTATTTAAGTAGGTATTATGGAGGATTCTTCACTTTCACAAATATATGTATTCCATTTGATTAGAGCACTTATTTCATGTGAAAGGTGAATGTGCCACATGGGTATTGCAAGCTCATTGTTTTTTTTTATTTTTTTTTTGTTTTGATGGCATTCTTCAACTCATCCTGTAAGCATGTCACCATTGATGTGTGTATGTGAGAAAACACATAGAACATCTACACAGTCAGATATATATATATATATATATAGAATTATAATTATATGAAATGTATGCATTACTAAAACTTTTGATGAAAATTTCTTTGATATACCAAGAATGGGTTATGAGGAAAAATGGAAGGGAATGGTTCTTTTCTTTTCTTTTTTCAATTTTAATAGCAAAATCCATGATAATGATTACTATAGTTGCTGTTTTTTAAAATGAGGCAGAGCTTGGCTAGAATATGATCTGACCTGGGCTGGGGAGGGAATTAATTGGTTAGTACACTGAGAATCAAAATAATGGACGCCCATTGATTATAAATATGAAAAAGCGAATAAAATAATAGAAAGCAAAGTGAAAATTTAATGGATGTCTGTTAGCCCCCATGTGTGTGTGTGTCAATGAATTAGATCCTGCCAGTTGATTGACTCTGCTCCAAAATTAAAACCATGGCCCAATCATACATCGCCACCGTTTGGAAGTTCCCCATGGAATTTCCATCCATCCATACATGTATACAAAGTGCTGCCCAAGGATGGATGGATACTTCATTTTTCATCCATCCATGTTGATTGTCACGTCAAGGAATGTTCGGTCTGGATAAGTATGGTTTTTGAGTCTATGTTAAAAAGAATTAAAAATTTTAAGTAATAAGTAAAATTTAAAATACTAAAAAAGATTAAGAATCATGTTTGGAATAGAGGGTTTGATTTTAATGATTTTTTTTGGACATAAGAAACATAAAAAACGTTTGTTGATTATGGATGAAACTTTGAAAGATACATCGGACAAGAAAAATTTAATTGAGGTACTATGGTAAATAATTACTAAGTATAATATTGATGTATTTTTTTTATCTCCTATTATTAGTTTTATGTAACTATTTTTTAGATGAAAATTTAATTATAAATTGAAATATATATCCCATATTTAATATTTGTAATTTAATTGACTTTTAAATCCATCAACTTATACCAAATAATATAAAAAAAAATTAGCTAGATTATTATTGTGTATATATATATATATATATATATATATATTTATTATATAACAGGGCTTGGATATAAGACAAAGAGACAAAGAAGCCTTTTCATTGGCTGAACATAGAAACAAGGGAATATGGATGAATGAGAGAATTGATGGATGACAATACTAGAGATAGTAATGTCCAAAAGCTCTAGTTTCCACTAGTACATATATATATATATATATATATATAATTACATAGATTAGTAATAAATAATAGATAATAAAATGGTTAATAAAAAATAATAATAAAAAAAAAATTTAAATCATAATCTTATGCATAAAACATGAAAAGAAGTTTATTCTTATTTTAAAAGTAGTAAGAATTTTTAGCTTATAATTATATATAATAATAGATATTTAGCTTTTATATATATATATATATATATATATATATATCAAATTAAATTTCATTCTACTAACATGTAAATTTTTCAAGCTATATATTGTGCATGTGGAAATTTTAAACATAAGATTTTTGGAATTTAAAAAAATATTTGTAATATATTTTAAATAAATTATATCAAATATATTTTATAAAATAATTAAAATTATATTTCTATTTATATAAAATTATATTTAAAAAATTTATATCTAGTTGATTTAATTGTTCAATTGAAAGCATTTCAAAGAGTACCATAGCTAAGAATTATACTAGAAGTCCTTAAATGTAAGGTTAGATAGTCTTTAAAGATCTTTAAAGACTATATATAAATTTAGTAAAATAAATAAAACTAAAAAATAAAAATCAACCTTATAAAAGGTAGTATAAAGTAAAGATCTATCCTTTTCTAAGTAATTTTATAATAAAATTTTATTTTTAAAGTATCTAAGACTTTTGACATTATAAAGATGCTTTAGAATAATCTCAATTTTTTTGTAACATATGTGTAGGTTTCATAGTATAATTTTTTTTAGATTTATTTATCGAGGATTTAATAAGTTTTATCAATTTTTGTTATATTTTAAAAGACAATCTCCTTGTCTAACATTTGTTTTATATTGTTTGCACTTTAAACACAACAAAGTTTTGTTATTTTGTTAATTATGCTATAATCCATAGGAATTTTTTTTAATTCTTGGAAACATGTATCTTAGCAACTCCAAGTTATTGTGCAATCTTTATAATATTTTTTTTATTGTCACGGACATACTCATGTAAGCCAATAATTACATATATAAATAAGTAAAAGTAGATGAAAGTAAGTTAATTCTATAGTATTTGCTATGGAAGTTTCATAGAAGCTTCATAGATGCTTCTTTGACTTTATAGGTATCTTTAATTGACTTTTTGGATTAGAAACGTGGTCAACAAGTTGGCCATGTGCCACACATGTTGTTAGCTTGAAGACCAAGCTAACAATGTGGCCCACACGTAGAAAAACTTGCCTTGTAAGTCAAGGCATGTGTCATACAAAGTCAACACATATTGGAGGTCCTATAGAACGTCACCGCGTAGCCCTTAGTTAGATAGTATATATAGAGACAAGAGTAAAGCCTTCTTCACTCTCGTCAACTCCTTTCTTGATTCCAATCTAGTTTCAAGGGTCTCTAATTTTCTTGTCTTTTGGCAATAGCCATTCCAGTTTCTCTTTCAATATACATACTTGTTTATTTATATTTTGTTACCCCTCCTTGAGTGAAGACTCACTTGTCTGAATTGCTTTTTCATCAAGTTCTTGTCCTTGACAGATTGACAAGAGTACACCTACAATATCACAGCTTTGTCTAATCTTGATTAAAAGTGGATTACTCCTTTTTCTTCATAAGATATAAGCATATTAGAAGTTGCGGATTACCTTCTTCTAAATTGATATTGTCCTTAGTATTTCCTTTGTTCTCAAGTCCTCTCTTCTATTTGTCTTGAGCGATATTAGACATCTTTTCTTTTCTAAGTGTTATCATGGCAGAACTTGCTGAAATGAAGAGTA